AGCAAATAGTGCTAATTTAAATTGTGTTTTCCTATACGTATCCCTTTAATTTCTTTTGTCTGTCTTATTGTTCTGTCCAGTGTTTAAAGGATTATGTTAAATAGAAGTGGTGAAAGAGGTCATCCCTAACTTGTTCCAGTTTTTAGAGGGAATACCTTCAATTTATCTCTATTTAGAATGATGTTGGCCTGGGCCTTAGTGTAGATAGCCTTTATAATGTTGAGACTGTTCCTGTTATTCCTAGTTTTTCTAGTGTTTTGAACATGAAGGGGTGCTGTGTTTTGTCAAATGCTTTTTCTGTGTCTATTGAGATGATCATATTATTCTTTGAGTCTATTGCTGTAGTGAATTACATTTATTGATTTCTGTATGTTGAACCAACCTTGCATACCTGGGATGAATCCCACTTGATCATGGTGCACCGATCTTTTTGATATGTTTTTGTATTTGATTTGTTAGAATTTTATTGAGAATTTTTGAGAATCTGTGTTCATAAGCGATAGTAGTCTAAAGTTTTCTTTCTTTGATGTCTTTGCCTGGTTTTGGAATCAGGGTAATATTGGCCTCATAGAATGAGTTTGGAAGTGCTGTCTCTTTTTCTATACTTGAAATGAATTGAAGAGTATTGATTGTAGTTCTTCTTTAAACGTCTTGTAGAACTTGGCTGTGTAACCGTCCGGTCCTGGGCTTTTCTTGGTTGGTAGGCTTCTGATGGCATCTTCTATTTCATCACTTGATTTTGGTTTGTTTAAATTGTATATATCTTCCTGATTCAGTCTTGGCAAGTCATATGCTATTTTATTGAAGTATATGTTTTCAAAATAATTTCTAATTATCCTCTGTATTTATGTAGTGTTTGTTGTGATATTACCTTTTTCATCTTGTGTGCTGGTAATTTGAGTTCTCTCTCTCCTTCTCTTCATTAGTGTAGCTAAGAGATTTCATATGTTGTGTCTATGTTCACATTTAGCTCTAAGAATTTTTTAATCTCCTCTTTGATGTCTATTGTTTATTCAGTAGGATATTGTTCAGTCTTCAGGTGTTAGAGTAATTTTTATTTTTTATTTTGTCATTGATTTCCAATTTCATTCCATTATCTGATAAAATACATGGTAGTATCTCTACTTTTTTGTATTTGTTACGAGTTGCTTTGTGGCATAGTATATGGTCTATTTTAGAGAAGGATCCATGTGCTGCTGAGAAGAAAGTGTATCTGCTTGATGCAGGTTGAAATATTCTATATATGTCAGTTAAGCCTAAGTTATTGATTGTATTATTGAGTTCTATAGAGTCTTTATTCAACTTTTGTTTGGAAGATCTATCCAGTGGTGGGAGAGGTGTGTTAAAGTCACCCAGGATTATTGTGTTGTGATCAATTTGACTCTTGAATTTGAGAAGAATTTGTTTGATGAACATAGCTGCACCATTGTTTGGGGAATATATATTTATGATATGTCTTGTTGGTGTATGGTTCCCTTGAGCAGTATGTAATGTCCATATTTATCCCTTTTGATTAACTTTGGCTTGAAGTCTACTTTATTTGATTTGAGGACGGAAACCCCTGCTTGCTTCCGCAATCTATGTGAGTGGTATGATTTTTCACAACCCTTCACCTTCAGTCTGTGGATGTCTTTTCCTATGAGATGAGTCTCTTGGAGGTAGCATATTGTTGGGTCTTTTTTTTTTTTTTAATCCAATCTGCTATTCTATGTCTTTTGACTGGTGAGTTTAAGCCATTAATATTCAGGGTTATTATTGAGACATGGTTTGTATTCCCAGCCATGTTTATTTTTGTTATTTAACTTGACTTGATTTTCTTCATTGATTAGTTTTTCCTTTAGGGTGCTACCTCCCTCTGCTAATTTTCATTGTTGTTTTTTGTGTCCTCTTCGTGGAATATTTTTCCAAGGATGTTTTGTAGTGCTGGTTTTCTAACTATAAATTCTTTTAACTTTTGTTTATTGTGGAAGGTTTTTATTTCATCTTCAAATCTAAAGCTTAATTTTGCTGGATTCAAGATTCTTGGTTGGCACCCATTTTCTTTCAGAGCTTGATATATGTTGTCCCAGGATCTTCTAGCTTTCAGGGTCTATGTTGAAAAATCTGCCGTTATCCTGATTGGTTTTTCTTTATATGTAATCTGGTTCCTTTCTCTTATGGGTTTTAAAATTCTCTCCTTATTCTGTATGTTGGGCATTTTCAGTGTAATGTGCCTTGATGTGGATCTGTTGTGATTTTGTATACTCGGATTCTTGTACGCTTTTTGAATTTGGATTTCCAATTCATTCTTCATGTTTGGAAAGTTTTCTGATATTGTTTCATTGAATAGATTGTTCATTCCTTTGGCTTGGACCTCTATGTCTTCCTCTATACCCAATAACTCTTAATATTTTTGGTCTTTTTATGGTATTCCATATTTCTTGAATGCTCTGCTCGTGGTTTCTTACCATTATTACTGTGTGGTCTACATTTTTTTCAAGATGATATATTTTGTCTTCATTGTCTGATGTCCTGTCTTCCAAGTGGTCTACTCTGTTAGTGATGCTTTCATTTGGGCTTTTAATTTGGTTTATTAATTTTTTCATTTCAAGGATATCTGTTTGGTTTTATTTTAGGACTTCTATCTTCCTTTTAAGGAGAGCTTTTGCTTCCTGTATTTGTTTATGTAGCTCCTTGTTGAAGTGATCTTTCACTGCCTGTATTTGCTCTCTTATATCTTCCTTGAGTTCCCAGAACATTTTAACGATGTATATCCTAATCTCCTTCTCTGTCATTCCTTCTGCTGTAGCTGCCAATGATTCTAGTGATGTGGTGTCTTCATTTGTTTGGGACACTTTCTTCCCTTTTCTTTTTTTTTTAATCATTATAACAAATCTTCAATTTATTTGAAGCAATTTTGTTTCAAAAATTTAAGTTTCAGCAGTCACAGGAAAAATAGGGAATAGTTAGAAACAATAAAAGAATGATCATGAGTGCTGCTTTTTGATTTGTTTTTAACACTGTCATGGCTTTATTAAAAAAAAATAGTTGCACAAAAGTATTAACCTCAACGTTTACAGAAAGATTCTTTTTTTTTTTTAAGAAGTTTTTAGTATTTACTTTTTGGTTTTTCGTGGATACAACATCTTTGTTTGTATGTTGTGCTGAGGATCGAACCCGGGCCGCACGCATGCCAGGCAAGCGCGCTACCGCTTGAGCCACATCCCCAGCCCTACAGAGAGATTCTTAAAGAACTTAACACACTATATACATACTGCAATACAAAGAGCATTAAAATAGGATCCCAAACTTCTACAAAATATAAAATCCCCCTTATTTATTTGCATGAAAATACCACCCACAAAGCTAAATAAGTTCTTAAAAGTTTGGTTTGAAAACAACACACTATGTGTTGTTTTCAAACCAAAGAACTCTAATTTTGATTGCACAATACGATGATTGATAAGAAAGTTAATATACAGATTTCATTTTAAAAATAAGTTTTTTATAATCTGTACATTGTATGTAATGACAATTCTTAGAGATATAGGGCATATCAATTGTTAAAAATTAGGAGAAAAAAATGTTAATCTTTTGTACTTTCTGATCCCCCTACTAAATTTATTCCAAGTGTTTTATTTCAGTCAGTTGTGCAACTGTTTTAGTTTCTCCACAAATAACCTTTAAAATGCCAAGTCATACATTTTAAACTAAAAAAAACCAAGCAGCATCAGTACTACACTCAGTAATTTAAATGTGTCCCAGTAGAAGAATAGCTTCAATTAGTTTACTGACACTAACTTTTAAAACCTTACAAATATTCAAAACAAAGAAAAAGTTTTAAGATAGTCAATATGAACAAAGCAGTTATCTTGAACATGGAGTCTCCATGACAAAAACAGAGATGTACTTGTGTGCTCGTTATATTTTATTTAGTAACCATGTAAGTAAGCACTCACTCATACTTATCCCAAATATTATTCTATTTTAATGGACATTCAATTGACAATAAGTCTTAATTTTAATATTTAATCCCAAATATTTTTCCAACTGCCTATAATATTCCAATTAAATGCTACATCTGGTAATGCTTTAAAACTATAGGAACAACTAAAGGTTCTAATCAGAAAAATTATAAATACTGTGTAGGGTTTGTATCCAAATAATTTGGGGATGCCAACTTAAAAATTGATTTAAATGTCTCATTAATTATCAACAGGCTATGAACATTGATGCTAATCCAAAAACCCTCCCCTGCTTCTTTACTTTCTTCATCCTACTTATATGGTCTTAGAGCTTGCTGCCTAAAATTGTATCAATAACAATATTTGTATCTCAGAAAATTCTCAATTTCTTCCACTCTGTTTAAAACCCAGAGAGATTTGAAAAGGTGGTTGAGGTATAAGACTAAAGGTTTTCTGGGTATCCAGAAATTCCCAGCTTTCTTTTGGGATAGAGAGAGGGGAGTCAATAAGAAGGGAAGGTGATCATAAAGAAATTGATGAGAAAATGCACACCTAAAACAAAATGAAATAAACATCCATTGGCATGTCATGATCTGCAGCCTAAAGAGAGGGCTCACCTGCGTGTCTTACTTAGTATAGGCAATTTTTCCTTCAAAAATAAAATCTTATCAATCACCAGAAAATCCATGAATTGTATTACTGACTAGAATGTCCCCCAAATCCATAAACTATATTACTGAATAGAACCTTTACTATTCTGCTTCTACTTTTCCAACTTAATTCATGTGACAAAAAAAACCACCCAAATATTTTGAGCTATTTAAAAAAAGTCAATGCCTTCAAAATAAAGATCCCTGGATCATCTCTAAATAATAATAATAATAATAATAATAAACTTATTCAAGAGACTACTGTCATTTCATATTTTAGATGACTGTAATTTCAGTTAATTTATAAATAACTTTAAAATCTTATGAATGAAATGCACCAAACTTCACCTGTGTAAAAGCAACCATGTTTTAATTACAGACTAAAAATTACTAATACAATGAACTTGAGTTTGAATTAGAAAAAATAAGCTTCTAAATATAATTGCTAGAGAATGTCTTAATGGGGGGAGTGTCAATGAAATTTTTTCTCTACATACAATATGATCATTAACAGACTAGTAAATCTTAACTGGAATGAGAAGGCAAAAATAGTAAAACCACACTTTTCTATAAAAAGTTACACATTATCTTCTGTAGTGATAGCTATCGTACATGAAAAAACAAAGATGTGATCACTATTGCACACCCAGGAATGCTGGGGAATCTGATCTTAGAATGATCTAGTCATCTTCTTCCTCTCCATCATCTTTAGCATCTTGTTTCCTCTTCTCCCCCTGGAGACCTTCTTCTTCCTCTTCCTCATCTTCTTCCCCTTCTTCATCCTGAATTTTTTCTTTCATCAAGTAAGAAAGGCCCACTTCTTCTTCTCCCTCTCCCATTTCTGACCCTGCTTCATCTTTATCCTCCTCCTCATCATCCTTCTCCTCTTCCTCGTATCCTTCAGGTGGACCAGCTTCATCTTCCTCTTCATCTCCATCATCTTCATCTCCATCCTTATCCTCCTCCTCTTCGGAGTTAGGTGCTTCATTCTCCTCCTGATCAAATCCATCTAAGTATGTGATTTGTTGCAGCAATTCAAAAATACTTTCTCTGTAATCTTCCAGATTTGTGATCTCACCGTTAAACAAGTCAAGACTTTTCAAATTTTTAAGATTTTGCAGAGCTTCTACTGTACTAAATAAGATCTTTGATTTTGTTTCTACTCAGATTGAGGTAGGTAAGATTTGGACATTTTTCTGCCAGGACTTCCAAGCCTCCAGAAATTATAGTGTCACTAAGTTCCAACTTTCGAAGTTTGTTTAAGCTGGGAAGTTGGGCCAGTGAATCTAATTCCACATTAGCCATACTCAGAAACTCTAGTTCTTTAAAAGTGTCATTCAGGCCTTCAATTTCCCCATTGACACACAGGCAATTATCAAGAACTAAGTGTGTCACCTCCTCCGGGGCTCGGTTCCTTAACTCTTCTTCATCTCCATGTCCTCCCCCTCCTCTTCTGTTCCTACTCTCCTCCTTTCCCCTTTCCTGCTCTTCCCACTACCCCCCCAACCCTAAAATTTTAAAAAGATTTGGAAATGAATGAAAAGAAACACAAATTTAAATGCCCACTACCACCAGATAGATGTGGTGCAGAAAGAAAAGAATAGCAAATGGATTCCAAGGAATTGGGACTCTAACTTGGGTGCCCCCACCTCCTTGTCCACACACCTGCGCACACACACACACCAGCAGTTCCTTTCCCTTCAATGGCTGCTCAGAGACCTTCCCTTGTCTTTTCATGTTGCTCTTGTGTCTTCCTTTTCAGCTCCGTGGTTCTAGATTGTTATTGTTTTTACCGTATAGGTTTGTAGTGCTCTTGTAGGGTTCCAAGACCTCTCCTTTGTGGGGAAGGACAATGTTTACAGATCTCAATATCAACAATATACCACCTATGAACAGTTTGTTGTTATTAAGGCATTCACAGTTTTGTCTTGATGTACAGAAATGTTGAATTCAATTATTATCTAAAATATAATCAGTAGTTTTTTAAAAATGTTTCTGACAGTGGACAATAACCTGGGGGTGGGGCTTAGGACCATATGCTGAGGAGGTAGGATGTGAGGATATAGAGTCAATGTATCTTAGGAAGTATGAAGGAGAAATCTAGTGAAGAGGGTTAGTAGCAAGAGACTAGACAGGATATAAATTTAGGGTAGGCAAGTAGGTGGTAAGACAGTAGAGTACATAAAACAAACACACATATGTATTTAGAAAAATACAGGATGTTAAAACAGTAAGATTTGGAGGGGGAAAGAAATGAAAGAATAAAAAGGAAAAGAAAAAAAAGAGCATGTATGATACCTCTATATTATATCATTCAGATGACTCAGTCCTCAAAGTCCTATTTCATGCAAAGTTCTTGGTTTCACATATGTTGGGGATGTGAGGGCCGTAGGATGGAGGGGTAGAGGAGAAAAAACCAACCAACCAACCAACCACAAACAAACCAACAAACGAAAAACTCAAAGGAAGAATCCAGGGTTGTAGCTAGCTTTAGAGATCCGTATCTTTCCTGCTTCTCTTCTCATCCAGTAGGAGGCATCGTCTTTTGTAAGCTGGTGTCTCTGTCCTCTGGATGGTGGAGGTAACCAGAGTGGAAAGTCTGGTCCTGGTGCGGGGCGCCTGGATGCTGGGGTGGCACCCACTCATCCCCTGGAGAAAGACTGCACCTCACGGGTCTCTTTTTGGGACCTCTCGCTGGTATGATGGGAGCATCCCGTACTATCTCACTCTCCTCTCTTTTTGAGAGAGAGAGAGAGAGAGAGAGAGAGAGAGAGAGAGAGAGATTAATTTTTTAATATTTAATTTTTAGTTTTCGGTGGACACAACATCTTTATTTAATTGTTATGTGGTGATGAGGATGGAACCCAGCCCCCAGCGCATGCCGGGCAAGCGCACTACCACTTGAGCCACATCCATCTCTCTCTCTTGCCTGGAGAATTCCCAGTTCCGGGTCTTTCCCTGTCCCCTAGCAGTTCCCAATTGAGGAAACTCTCACCCAGGGCTCCTGTGGGCGGCTCCTGGTCACATTGCACAACTATGTTGGGCAACTACTGTGTTGGGTTACCACCCCTGGGGAGGGGGGAAGGTTGGAAACCTGGTACTTGGCTGCTGGAGATCCGATCTGGAAATTGCCCCCAGCTAAATGGTGAGACTGTTGAGTCAAGGTGGCAGGGGTGTGCTTTCAGCGCCGGGGTGTCTGGTGAGGTGGAGGGAGCCTGGCTAGGTGGGGGGAACCGGGTGATGGCTTTGTGCTGAGGGTAGGCAGCAGCTGAGTCACTTGTGTGGGAGCAGTGCGAAGACATGGCAATCTGCAGATGCGTTGATAGATGATTCTGCTAAGGCTCACCGAATCTTGTGTGGACTGGAACTTTGGGCTTTGAGCCTGCTCCAGCGCAGGGTGTCCTGCTGGAACGCTGAGGCCTGGAGCCCCATGTGGGGTCACAGTGCTGGTGATTTCTGTAGAGAGCAGCTGGATGGGATCCTCTACCACTCTCGGAGATCTGCAGGTCTTGCTACCCTGGCATGGGGTGGCTCACTGTCTTCCCCCGCCACTATGTTTGGTCGTGTTACATAATTTTTACATTATAGTCAATGATATTTTTCACATCAATTTTAATACATTATTAGTAAGTTTTGTTCATAATATTTTTCATATTGTTTTAATACATTATTATGTAAGTTTTGTATATGTTTTCATATAAAGTTTAAAAATATTTGCCACAAAAGATGATAAGCTAAGAATCTGAACCATATTAATTCCCCACCCTCCACATACTACACCATATAGAAATGAACCGTGTGTGTTTATTTTTGAATTTTTTAATATTTATTTATTTATTTTTAGTTATAGGTGGATACAGTTCCTTCATTTTATTTTTATATGGTGCTGAGGATTGAACCCAGTGCCTGATGGTGGGAAGAGTAATTGCTGTTAGCAGCAAGAGCAGAGGAATACTATATTAGGACATAATATGAAAAGGTTTCATGATTTGGGCAAGACTTAAGAATACATGCTAGGTGAGTGCTCTACCTCTGAGCCACAACCCCATCCCTATGTGTATGTTTACTTTAATATAAAACTTTATAGAAAACTTTAGTCATTTCAGTTAATTCAGTCAAAACTTTCAAAGAGTAGCAACTTTTGAGTTCCTAATTGCTTACAATCTTTAGAATTGTTAGAATCTTTCTGTGTAAAATTCAAAATGATTTGCCAATATTGGCAAAGAAAATAAACCATTACTAAACACTTCAAATATGATTACAAAGCAACATTCTAATTTAGAAACATGTGGGCTTTGTAATAAATCAGTAAGCATGGCAAATCCTGCACTTTTGGAACCTTAAGAGAAATTGCCTGTGTTGACTTGTATTTTGTCATGGAAGGTGAGTTCACTGAGGACTTTGAAATATGAGATTATCAGATTATTAATTCAGCTTGTATTTATACTGGTATTGTGAAAAAATACACATAAATCCTTTAAAAGCATGAGTGATGAATCCCAGGCCCTTCATTCATCCTCAGGTTGCAAATATACTACAATAGCATATAATTTTTTCTGCTCTTTAATATCTATTTATTTGTTTATTTTTGGCTAATGGCCGTAGCTTCCTTGTGCCACTCAACTTGATTTTCAGTTTCATCAATAGCTCTGACCATTAGTTTTTTTCTGACTATCCCACACATAAAAAAATAAATAAATAAATAAACAAACCAAGCTGTAAGTCTGTTTCTAGGAGTTACTGGGTAGGCAGAAAACAGTGCTGTGTTGGAATACAGATGTTTCTTTGGCTGGGCCACATGTAACTAGCTGCAGACCCCAAGCTTGTTGCCAAGGCCAATGTCTCGGCTTGGCACCAGAATCACGAGCCACCACACACCTTTGTAGGTTCAAACAGCAATTCTTTATTCCCGCTCTCACACCGCCTCCACACAGGTCCAGGGGCAATCGTGTTCTGCATCTGCCCGCACAATTCACCTCCTCCATGAGGCTATCTCCAAATCTCATTTTAATCTCATGAGAACTCAACGGGAACAAGCAGCAGGAACACCCTAATCCCAGCAATAATCTTCAACCTCTAACTTCCCTAAAACCCATTATCTTAAACTGGCAACTCCTTAAACTCAAGGATCCGGTTACTTCCTCAAACCTGATCAGCTCTAAACCTGGATCCGCCTTGGTCCTTGAGCAAGGTCACCTTATTAAAGCATGCATGCAATGTCCCATCGAATGTCCTCTAAGCAGCATGGGGTATGCTTGGCAAGGAAATTTCGATGCGTCATTCCTACTTGGTAATGGCCCTCAGCAGCTTGTGACTTAAATTTGTTTCACATTTCAACTGGCAGTAGTTGTCAAAGACCAAGCATCTGTTTGAAAGGATATTTTATTTGATAACAAAAGTCTTATTAAGAAAGCAAAATATACTTTCAGAATATTTGAAGAGTGAAAGTCATGGGTGATTAATTCCCTGAATGAATGGGTGGTGGGAAGAGTAATTGCTGTTAGCAGTGAGAACAGAGGAAGACTGTATTAGGACATAACATGAAAAATTTCATGATGTGGGCAAGACTTAAGAATTGGCTACAAATATGATTTTGAACATGGTTAGGCACCAAGATATTTGATCTTACCTTCTACAAACCCTATTCCAATGAAAGGACACTGAGATTTTGGACTCCAATCTGTTTTCAAAATTTGTGATTCTGTGTGTTACCCCTATAACTTTCAGTTCAACCGCTCCTCTTCCTTCAAGGTCCAATTCAGTGATGGCCTATCTAGTCTTTATAGATTTGCTTGTCAGGGACCTGTAGCATTTTGAATCTTTCACATCCAGCTATAGTTTTGTCTCTTTTGTTACTGGTTTCCCTGCTGGATTGTTAGAATCAGGGGTCAGGAAATACATATTACATCCCACATCATTGATCACATTATTTAGCTTGTACACTGAATGTGATGTTGATAGAAGAGGAAATAGAATGTTTAACAAAGATGACAGAGTGAGTGTGGCCTCAGAAGGAGGAGTAGGTGTGATATGCTGAAGAAAAGCAGCCATCCTAGGTATATGAATCACCCCAAATCAGAAAGAGTTAAGTTGGAAAAGCAGGAAAGGAGTTCAAACTCAAGGATTTGGCTTTTATTCTGCAGTCACTGAAAACCAGGTAGATACTAGCCTGATTAAAAAGAGGGTTGAGACCATTTCTGTCTGTGCACAAATTAGTGATGAAGATAGTAGTATATTTCTCCTTTTTATTTGGAACCACATCAAAACCTGTCTTTTAGTACAAAGGGGTACTAGTTCACATTTATGTGACACATTTCCTCCAGAAATCCTTGAGAACTTGAGGAAGTGATGGAAATGATTCAGCAAGGGGACTTCTTCCTGAACATGCGACGGACAGTTGTGACTGGATAGAGCTCTTAGCCAGCCCATAAACAGTCTTTTTGTGATTTCTGTTGATGCTACTTCAAGCTTTTCCCAGATGGAAACTCCACAGAGGATGAGACTGAATGGAAATACATCTGGAAGACTTAGGGTCCTTCAGGTAGATTTCATCCTGAATGCTGACCGAAGAGCCTGAACTACCTGGAGATGACTGACTCATCAAGAAGATAGACATTTTGGTCATAGCCTGATTCTTTGATTACGTATGGCAATAAAGAATATAATGGGCCATTTGCTGTGGTACACACCTATTATTCATAGAAGAAAAATCCTTGGTGTAAAGACAAGTACTTACAAATAGCTTTTTATATGACTCAACAAATCTTTCCTATACAGAATTATAAGAGAAAAATGTGACACTGGAGTGACACTGAAGGCTGAGGCAGGGGGGATCTCAAGTTGGAGACCAGTGTGGGCAATTGATTGAGACTGTCTCAAAATAAAGACTAAAAAGGGCAAGGGATATATCTCAATGGTAGAGCATCCCTGGGTTCAATCCCTGGTTCCATCAAAACATAGAAAAACAGGTGGTGAGCTGTGCTTGTCTTACAGATCTATGCTTTAGACACTTAGGTTATATCTAAGAGGAGACTTTGGGTTCTACTTAGTTTTGGAGCATGGACTGTGACAGTATTATAATAAACAGTAACTTTCCTAATGATTGTTTGGCATCTTCCTCCTAGTTACAATGGTCATGCTTTAGAATATCAAAGAGTTTTAGAAATAAGAAATAGTAATAATGTGTTCTTCATCTTAAAGGGATGTATAGGTGTCACTTATTTCACGGTTTGGAGGGTTTTCTTGGAACTCAAAACCTGAGATTGTGGGAAGGATGTTAAGGGTTTGTTTTATTCAGTGGACACAAATATAGACCGTATTTTTTTTTTCTCTTGTAATTCTGTATAGGAAAGATTTGTGAGTCATATAAAAAGCTATTTGTAAGTACTTGTCTTTACATTAAGGATTTTTCTTCTAGGAATGTTGTTTGCTTGGGTTTGGGTTTTTAAATGGCTTACTTTTCAGTTTAATAATGCACTCTTGTTTTTAAATTAAACTTGTCAGTGAGCCTTTTTGTGAGTGGCTTCGTGTGTTGGTTAGTTAGTATTTATAGCTTAGGTCTGTTTTTGAGGAAATGACTAAAGCCTCTTGCATTCGATCAAAACTGTAAAACAAAGAACATCTTTGACTTACTTAAACAAGGCCTGTGATCGCAACTAAAAATTTTAATGGTTCATGTTTATAAATGTTTTTATGTATTCTATCTCAGTTGGGCTAAATAATTGGAACTCTGTGCTGAGGGAGGAATTGAATAAACTCAGTGTCTCTTGGTGTCAATTCCTCTGGAGCAAGTTCCGGCAACACTTCTTACAGAACATAGGTGTACTCTTTTCTTCTCTTTAATGTACTCTATAGGTTTTTTCCATTGACATTTCTATCCAAGAACCTTGACATATGTTCAGCAAAGAGACTAATGGGCAATCGGGTAGGGCCTAGGAAGTGAGTGATTGACAGACATCTGTTGTGTCTTGTTCCCTGCCAGAGCTCCCTGCTGCCTTATTTATCTGAATCTGTTTTGTGTTGTTATAACAAAATACTCAAAACTGGTTAAATTATAAGGAAAAGAGCTTTAATTTGGCTCACAGTTTTGAAAGCCTAAGAACATGATAATGGCATTAGCATTTGGCGAGGGCCTCATGGCCAAAGACATTACATGGTGAAAGCTTGTGATATATAGGGGAGAGAAGGGATGGGGAGAGATTGGTTGGTCCGTCACTTGGTGGGAGAGGAAGCAAAGGAAGGGAATGGGCCAGGCTCATTCTTTTTTATAACAGCCAACTCTTCTAAAAATTAGTTTACGCTTTTTAAGAACTAATCTACTTCCAGAGACCAGCATTTATCCCTTCTTGAGGACACTCATGACCTAGTTACCTCACACTAGGCCTCACCTTTTAGAGGCCTCACCACCTTTCGATACCATTACATTGGGGACCAAACTATTACATGAGTTTTGGTGCAGACAGACCACATCCAAATCATAGCACCATTCTGGCACATTCACAGGCTCTTCCACTCTAAACTCACCCTCTCACCATTGACTCAGTCCTCATAGAAGTGTAGTTCTTCCTTCTCTGCTTCTTCCAGCCAAGAGATGAAGAGGGTTTTCAGAAAGGAAGAGAGAGCTTAGCTCCTGTCTGCTCAACCTCTGACTGACCTGTGCTTGGGGTCCAAGCTGGAAGTCACATTTTCCCATAAAAGTTGAGATGATGATTGGATTCTGTGTGTTTCAGCCAGCCATGTTGTGAACTCAATTTTCTGCACTAGGTTTTCTTGTTAATGAATATTTGGTTACATTAATTATTTCAACCCTTTCATAAGCAACTCAAGAAACCACTTCTCCAACTAAATGATTAATCAAAGTGAAATTGCTCTACCCACATATCACTGGCTTCTGCTTCTGTTCTCAGAAACATTTATATATTGAGATTCCTAGAAGCTCACTTTGAAAGCTGTTCATTAATGGAAGCATTTTGGAGCATAATTTAGTCTTAATCAGGCTTGCCTAAGTAGACACCATTAATCACTTAGAATTTGTTTGGATTGGTGTGTATGCCTAGACTATATATGAAACCAGCTTTAAGAGAGGGAAAAATGGACAGATGCTTACCTGATATGATGGAAGAAATTCCTTCAAGATGGTTCACACCCCAATTCATGACTAAAATTCTGTTGTCAGCAAAGCATTTTAAGCACCTGCTTCCCTCTCTCTCCCTCTCTCCCTCCCTCCCTCCCTCTCAAGCTCCCCAGAGGGTTTGTTGAGGCTATT